GGCGTGGGAGCCCTTCTGTGCGGAGTTTGCATTTTCTCCCTGTGTCAGTGTGGGTTCTCTCCGGGCACTCCGGCTTCCTCCCACAGTCCAAAGACATGCAGATTGGGGACTAGGTTAATTGATAACTCTAAATTGTCCGTAGGTGTGAATGTGAGCGTGAATGGTTGTTTGTCTCTATGTGTCAGCCCTGTGATAGTCTGGCGACCTGTCCAGGGTGTTCCCTGCCCCTCGCCCAATGTCAGTTGGGATAGGCTCCAGCCCCCCCGCGACCCTCAAGAGGATAAGCAGTTAGAAGATGAATGAATGAATGAATATTATATATATGTATGACAGTGTATATAGGTAATATATATGAGGTGTGTAAGTGCATCACCAGAAAATGTATGTTACAAGCTATAGTTAATATTAGGGTTAAGAAATAGAGAATGAACATAGTCTGTAGTGGGTCCTCATGAGTACACTCAGAGTGTGACCTTGTTGATCACAATTTGCAGACCCAGCATCTGACAGCACCATAAGGACACATGTGACATCTAGGAACCAAAATCCAAATGTTGGTTCTGACAAATTTTATGCAGTTTAATTTAGGGTTAGGAATTTGCAAGGAAGTGAATGCAGGTAAGTTCTTAATATGTACAAACAAATTTAACACAGTGTCTTTCTATAAACCATCCCATACCTGATTCAGCCACAGTTGAGATGTCAACACCCAACTCAAAGGACATGAAGCCGAGGACAGAGAAGACCGCAAAGCCAGCAACAAAGCTGGTTAGACTGTTCAGTGTGCACAGGAAAAAAGTGTCTCTGAAAATAAATTAAAAAAACACTATTATGTATTGTATCCTGCATCACATAAACACTTATGGGAATGGAAAGTGAGTGCATAGAATAATACTCATTTTCCTTACTTGTAGCAGTTGTTGTGGTATTTGTTGTAGCTTCCCAAAGCTGGCAAACAGCCAAGGCAGACAGCATAGGAGTAAAGTATTTGGCTCCCAGCATCCATCCACACCTTGAAATAATGACATTAGTTGTGACTGGTATATACCTTTTAATATTTCATCATTACATTTTTATACTTATCATATTTCTGCCACTTTACCCCTTCCATCAGCCACATTCTCACTCTTTAAGACTTTCCATTCTCCATCCATCCATCAGATAGCCTCAGACCGTCCCACTCATCTGTTCCTCTTTTCCCAGTTAACCCCCTCCTGCTGGCAAGATCATCAACGTTGCTTCATGCCTCTGCTTTCCATCTTCTGAGACCTGTAACTTTAACCCTGTAACCTGAACCCTAATCTGTACCTGCCTTCCTTCCTGTCTGCAAGGACGTGCACAAGGCCAGGCTGAAGTTGCCTAAGCAACAGCCTATTTGCCCTCTGTGGTTGAGCTGCTCCACTGAAGCAGATGTTCTATTTTTGCTGTTGTGGTTGCATACATAAGTGGCCAATAATTGCTAAAGCTGGACCAGATTAAATTACAATCATCCAAAATTTCAATACTTTTTGATAGGTATGCCCCTGCAAAGCAATGCCCTATGACTCCTGTCTTGTGTCATTGAAGCATCCAAGCTTGGTATTGTTGCTGTTGTGCCCTCTGGGTGAGTCTTTTTAAGTTGTGGAAATGCTTAATGATGAATAGTTTAACCAATGGGATGCCCTGTGAATAAAAATCTCCACATATGCTTCAGAACAATGTGCAGCTTGCCACATTTGTATCACTGTGCGCAATATTGCCTTCTAATTTGCAATCACATAAACCAAGCTTAGCTAGCTAGCTAGTTAACATGGTAAATGGTAAATGGACCTGCATTTGTATAGAGTGTGCCAGGGCTGACGTCAAAACCCAGAAGTTTAGCATCGCACTGGTTCCCGGAAGAGAAAGTGAATGTGATTTTTGCATTGCGTTTTGGATTATGTCAGAAAATAAGCTCTGTGGCTAACACAAGTTTATGATACTTACAGGTTTTGTTCAGTGAGATAATCTTCACATATAAACACCTTTCATACCGCATTTGAAGCTTAAATGCGATCGCCAGAAGTAAAAAGCTAATGTTAGGCTTTAACAGACTACATGACTGCTCCACGGTTGCATGACTCTTGACGTCACCGCCACTAAGCTTTCAACTGATTTCGGCCGCTTTATTTTAAAAACATTGTATAATGGGGAAATCGGACTGTTTAAGCTAAATAAGAAGCTGTAATGGCAGACTGCCAGCACTCTCGCCTGTTTGGGGGTGATGACATTTACTGTCCCCGACAGGGTTTGTAGTCGTATTGAGCAACTTGTTAGCAACTGCCTTTTTTACGACACGTAAAAGCTTCAAAATTCACAAGTAGTGTATTTACTGACGCGTTTTGTGTCGTAGAACAAAACATGAAACTCGCTTAAGCTTTTGTTAACCACAGACCTTATTTGAGGCATTTTACCAAAATCCCATTCAAAAAACGTATTGACTTTTAGACGAGAAAACTGTTATATCTGCACAAAGTATTGTAAATTTGTTTCATTTTTGAGGTAATGTTAAAAAATGTGCTTTTCTATAGTGGGCTAACCCCCAAACAGTACAGAGTGTTAAAGAGCCCTTTTTTCAGGTTAGAGCAACAGAGCCTCTGTCGACCTGCCATACATGCCACTCTCTTAGTTAACCCACTAAATTTCCACTAACCCCGCCTCTCCACCACACCTACCTCCCAACCTGTCCACACATCTGCCACTCTTGCTGATCCACCTCATCCACCTCATCAAGCCAACTGCACTCACCTGTGGATCATTGCCTCCTGCCAGTATAAAGACTCCAGCTTCACAAACTCTCCTTGCCAGTTTGTTCCTTGTCACTCATGCAAGACTTTCCAGGATTTATTTCCAGACTGCATCCTTGTTGCTGACCTCACCTGTCTCTGGTTCTCCTGCTTCGTCTGCTCCCCAGTAAACCACTCTGCTCTCTGTCCCCAACTAAGAGTTCTGCTTCTGACTTCCTGGTTGCTGTTCGCCTGTTCTCCATGTCTGTTTGGAGATATCGTCACCCAGCTCTCCAAAGTGAGTTTACCGGTTCATCCATCTGTGGATTTCTGTGCTGTGGATTGCTTTGCCGTGTGGCTGCACATTACACATTTGTGTGTGTGCCGCGGATTCCACTCATCATCGCTGCTGTCAAGACCCTAGCTGCCTACAGTTGGTTTTGCACCAGTGTGTTGGCTTCTCCCATGTGTACTCCTGGTTCCAGACTCCCTGCTTGTTAGATACTGCGTTCTGCCTACTCCTTCACGGTACCATTGCACACATTTGCACTGTTTGCCATTTGTGTGCATCCAGCACGCGCCACTGACTCACCTGCTCTCCGCTTCGGTTTGCCACACCAAGCACTTGGGTCTGAACCTGTGTTTTGGAAGGTTTCAAGCCAACAAACTGACTCTCACTGTTTTTTCATCTGCCTGCTCACTCTGTGTTAGACAAGTAGTTTCATTAAAGACTATTATAAACTGTCCTCCCCTCTTTGGTGCTGCTATTTGGTTCTAAACGTACCCGTGACACCCTCAAAATGTCTGCACGCATGCCTGTACCTTTTACCTGCCCCAGTCATGTTAACCTTTGGATTCTCAACAACTTCTGTTTGGACTTACAACCTTCATCTGTAAGCTCATGTATAATCACCCTATTGATAAATCACTTCCTTTCTGCCTGATTGTCTGCCTTTTGGTCCTTTTTCTTGCTGCCTCATACACACACGTTTGACAGTTCCTTCTAAATTGAAACATGAGCAGATGCTGCCCTGCTCAAGTTTCCAGGAATCTCACTGGTGTGGAAGCCCAAGGACGCCAGTAAAACCTCTTCAGTGTTTTTACGCCCAGAGAGAAACTGTTATTGGAATAAATTATTTTTGAATATGGTATCTACTTAAGTTCTTATCTTTAATCCTTACCCTGATTAAAGCGCCTAACTGCTCTTGCTACATCAGCAGTTGCTGTGGATGGACTACATTTTTTTACATATTAACGTAATACCAGCGTCTCTCATCCACAGCAGCTTGCATACTGTATGACGTCTTCACTGACGACTGATAAGCTCCCTATACAGCCATCTGAACTAAAGGATAAGGCTGGAGTTATTCCATGTTCTACTTTCTGCCTACAAATCACATTGCTTGTGTTCATCATAATGTAAGAACATGTCACTCAGTACAAAGTTGTTGTTTTTTGTGTTTTTAATGGGTTTTTTTTGGACAACAATGGAGATGTTCAACATTAGGCTTTGGTTATGTGGGGAACATTTGTTAGTAGGATCATTTAATATTTGGTTTTGGTCTTTGTTGATTATAAGAAAACAGATTTTTTTCAGCCTCATCCTAATGTTAAAGTCAAAGTGTGCCAGTGTTAGACAAATAGTGCTACAGTGTATCACATACATCCACTCATCAGTCACACATAAAGCTCACCTGAGAATCAGTCAGAAGGGTCGGATCAGGAAAAAGGTAAAATTGAATTCCATCTACAGCTCCTGGCAGTGTCAGACCGTGGATCAGTAACACAATCAACATCATGTAGGGAAAAATGGCTGTGACGTAGACGACCTAAGAGGAAAGCACCACTACATACTGAATTCAGTGGTGGTCGCGATTCACATCACAGTTAAGGTTTTAATGAATCTGACGTTCTATTAACACTGCACTGATAAGAAGTGTATACACCTTACCTTTCCTGATGTCTTGACTCCTTTCCAGATACAGAAGTAACAGATGATCCAGCTCAGCAGAAGGTATCCAGCCAGGTCCCAGCGGATACTACCCATCTCTTCAATCCCTCCAGACAAACCCAGAACTCGCCTCCTGTGTGCAAAAAAAAAGGTATGTCAAGATACATTTTAATCACCATAAAACAATATTTGTCGTATGAATTACTTACCGCCAGAATTCTTCAACTGAAGATGTTGCATTTTCATTGATCTGGCCATGAACTGAATCATTCTGACGGCAATCAATGCAGTTCTCTAGAGGTGGAAGAGTAAAAGGTGAAAAGTCAGAATGACTAAAATTTGATACCATGTTAATGATAAGTCAACTTCGTAAGAAAAAAATACTGCAGCAGTTTTTAATATATTCTCAGTGCCTCTTCTAGAGTCAAACTACACTCATGTGTTACCCTTGACTATAGTTCTATACCTATACAAGGCCATGGCACCGACATAATGTAGATGCGTACCTGTGTTCCAGGTGTTGTTGCAGCTGGCCCAGGGGAGTACAGTGTGGAAGGAGGAGAAGAGGTAGAGGAGGGCCCAAGCCAAAATCACGATATAATACACCTCACCGTATAACAATATCAATTGACTGCCATAGCCTAAACCTGGTGACAAAGATATGATGAAATACACTATTAGTGTAAAAGGTTATTTCAGATACTATGCATACTGTATTGAATATGTTGCTATCAGTACCTTCAAATAAAGGACATATTTTCCTCCAACAGGTGATTCCACCCTGACCAGTTAACTGTCCCAGAGAGACCTCCAGCAAGAAGAGGGGGATCCCACAGGTGAGTAGGAACAAAACATAAGGAACCAAGAAAGCTCCTGAAGGGAAAAAAATAGCAACGTAATCAGTTACAATGAGAAAAAGATGATCAGAAAATGTTAAATACAGCCATAAGCAGTAATCCTGGGTTCAAGCAGTCTCTCTGTCAGCAGAAGGAAGCAGCTCAATTGCCAAAGTCAATGTCACACCAACAGCGAGCAGGCTTCAGGCTTCACAGAGATGATCAAAGTCACTTTAGTCAGTTTAATTAGTTTAAAAAAGATGATGATTATGATTATACAATTATTTATTATGATGTATGCAGCATTTCAATAACTGCACACTCAAAATCCAAACAAACCTGGGTGGGTACATTTAGGACAGAGTGCCAGATGTGTCCGCTGAGTTGAATCAGACTATTTGATTGATTGCAGCCATGTTTTTGGACCAATTTACTCATTAATAATAGGATCTAAGTCCTAAGATTAGTGTTTATGAAGTCAAAATCCAAAAAAGACTATTCATATTACTGTTTTTCATAATATGCAAATTGGCAAAGAATCCATCATGGTAGCCTTAATTGTCCAAGAGGCTTTTTTGTAGAGGACATTAATATGTGGGTGGGTCAAATTTTAGCTCAGTCAGACTCATAGTGTGAAGGGTGTGGCCTGTCAAATTTTTTTTTCCATTTTGGACTGTCAGTTATATCACCATCATCCCGCTGATTGGGATCAAATTTGATGTGAAGCATTAGAATATAATTTCTGGTTATGGTTTTGAATTTCATGTCTCTAACTCATTCGAGCTCACAGTAAATTTAGCAAAGGAATGATATGGCATATCATGCTAACTAGGCCACGCCCACATGCAGCAATCATTGTGACACTTCATTTTTGGTTGTTACTCTCCCCTAGAGCATGCGTACACATTAAGTGAAATTCTGTCCACCACTGCACCACCGGCAGCATGGTGGTTAGCATTGTCGCCTCACAGCAAGAGGGTTCCCAGGGTGGGGGAGCCCTTCTGTGTGGAGTTTGCATGTTCTCCCCATGTCAACGTGGGTTACGTACAGCGTACTAGGCTTCCTCCTACAGTCCAAAGACATGCAGGTTAATTGGTGACTCTAAATTGTCTGTAGGTGTGAATATGAGTGTGAATGGTTGTCTGTCTCTATGTGTCAGCCCTGTGATAGTCTGGTGACCTGTCCAGGGTGTACCCTCCATCTCACCCAGCTCCCGTCTGGGAGAGGCTCCAGCAACCCCCCCCCCACCTTCTCATTCAATGCGTTTTCTTTATTTTCATGACTATTTACATTGTAGATTCTCACTGAAGGCATCAAAACTATGAATGAACACATGTGGAGTTATGTACCTAACAAAAAAAGGTGAAATAACTGAAAACATGTTTTATATTCTAGTTTCTTCAAAATAGCCACCCTTTGCTCTGATTACTGCTTTGCACACTCTTGGCATTCTCTCCATGAGCTTCAAGAGGTAGTCACCTGAAATGGTTTCCACTTCACAGGTGTGCCTTATCAGGGTTAATTAGTGGAATTTCTTGCTTTATCAATGGGGTTGGGACCATCAGTTGTGTTGTGCAGAAGTCAGGTTAATACACAGCCGACAGCCCTATTGGACAACTGTTAAAATTCATATTATGGCAAGAACCAATCAGCTAACTAAAGAAAAACGAGTGGCCATCATTACTTTAAGAAATGAAGGTCAGTCAGTCCGGAAAATTGCAAAAACTTTAAATGTGTCCCCAAGTGGAGTCGCAAAAACCATCAAGCGCTACAACGAAACTGGCACACATGAGGACCGACCCAGGAAAGGAAGACCAAGAGTCACCTCTGCTTCTGAGGATAAGTTCATCCGAGTCACCAGCCTCAGAAATCGCAAGTTAACAGCAGCTCAGATCAGAGACCAGATGAATGCCACACAGAGTTCTAGCAGCAGACCCATCTCTAGAACAACTGTTAAGAGGAGACTGCGCCAATCAGGCCTTCATGGTCAAATAGCTGCTAGGAAACCACTGCTAAGGAGAGGCAACAAGCAGAAGAGATTTGTTTGGGCCAAGAAACACAAGGAATGGACATTAGACCAGTGGAAATCTGTGCTTTGGTCTGATGAGTCCAAATTTGAGATCTTTGGTTCCAACCGCCGTGTCTTTGTGAGACGCAGAAAAGGTGAACGGATGGATTCCACATGCCTGGTTCCCACTGTGAAGCATGGAGGAGGAGGTGTGATGGTGTGGGGGTGTTTTGCTGGTGACACTGTTGGGGATTTATTCAAAATTGAAGGCACACTGAACCAGCATGGCTACCACAGCATCCTGCAGCGACATGCCATCCCATCCGGTTTGCGTTTAGTTGGACGATCATTTATTTTTCAACAGGACAATGACCCCAAACACACCTCCAGGCTGTGTAAGGGCTATTTGACCAAGAAGGAGAGTGATGGAGTGCTGCGGCAGATGACCTGGCCTCCACAGTCACCGGACCTGAACCCAATCGAGATGGTTTGGGGTGAGCTGGACCGCAGAGTGAAGGCAAAGGGGCCAACAAGTGCTAAACACCTCTGGGAACTCCTTCAAGACTGTTGGAAAACCATTTCAGGTGACTACCTCTTGAAGCTCATGGAGAGAATGCCAAGAGTGTGCAAAGCAGTAATCAGAGCAAAGGGTGGCTATTTTGAAGAAACTAGAATATAAAACATGTTTTCAGTTATTTCACCTTTTTTTGTTAAGTACATAACTCCACATGTGTTCATTCATAGTTTTGATGCCTTCAGTGAGAATCTACAATGTAAATAGTCATGAAAATAAAGAAAACGCATTGAATGAGAAGGTGTGTCCAAACTTTTGGCCTGTACTGTATGTCCATGCTAATTGGTCATCTGCTGACCCGTTGGGAGACTTTCAGTAGTGTCCAAACCAAAAAACAAGGACTGACAACACAGAAAAATGAAGGTACAAAAACCTTAGAGTAGTCACTAGGTAAAGAAAAGAATTAGGAACTAACTATTAGTCAGTGGTCAGTTCTTAAGTAACAACTAATCAAATGTCAAAGCAGCTAGTCAATGAGGAATGAATAAATCAGTTAAAAGTCAAAGTCAGCTTTATTGTCAATTTCTCCACATGTACCAGACATACAGAGGAATTGAGAAGACGTTTCTCTCTATCCCACGGTGACAGAATAAAATGCACAAGCACAACAGATAAAGACAAGACATTTACTAATACAAAAAGTAAAAAACAATAAAATAAAATATAAAATCTATAAAAACTCAAATCTAAATATATATAGCAGTGTAGTATGGAAGCCCTAAACGGCCATACATACAAACATTTTATTTCCTCCGTTTTCTCATGATAACGAGATCATTCCTACGTTTTCCCGTGATAACGAGATAATTTTCCTCCGTTTTCCTGTGATAACGAGATAATTAATTTGAGAGATAATGAATGAAACGTGATAGGCCTGAAATTTCCATCACAGTGACATGTCATGCTGACTGATGTCTCCTTGAACACCAACTTTAAGCCTAGTTCTCTGCTTGTTTGTGTTTTGTTTTGTGTTTTGCAGCATGCATATCAGTCTGCTCCTCTCACTCAGGAGAAACTGGACACAAATAACTACCCCGTGTCTATCGATACCTAACGTCAATGGCGCCACCAGGGGGTCCGACTACCCATAACTCCGACCCGCTAATCTGACCATGCAGGTCTACGGCGAGTTTTATGGTTTTAGTCCCATAATGTCGACTGCCCATTAATCCGACCATTTTAATGCCATTGTTCCGACCGTCAGATTTCATATCCAGTAGTCCAACTGTCCGTTAGTCCGACTACAACACTTCCAACACCAAGCAGTCTGTGCATTTCTCCCTCACTGCGCAGGCACGGACTGTGAGGACAGTTGCATTTATCTCATCAAGGGAAATCACATCCATCTGCTATATGTGACTTAACACTCATAACACTTTTTTAAACATTGTTTGAAGCTAAATGTGGCAAAATGTTGATGTTATTTTAAAGCTATAGTGCGTAACTTCTACAGGTCCGTAAATGTCCGTTTCACCCAAGCCACTACTAGAGGAGATGACACAATGCTGATTAAGCTGATCGGCTCCTCTAACATCTCGCGGTATTTTTCTATATATATATCATTTTTAGTATGCATGTCGACCGGCGACATTCCCGCGCTGGCGCACAGGAAATGCTTCCTCACAACAAGAAGGGAGGGGGAGGAAGAGCGGAGAGGTAGAGCACAGGTAGAAAGAGAAAGCAACATGGTGGAGAAGTGGCAGAGACACAGTTCACAAGTGGATCCTACCACAAAGGCAAGTGTTACTCTGTGTACGGTGTGTAGCGACTGGCGAGTGTTACTGTGTACATGGAAGTGCCACTGGCTTATTAGTTGTAATAACGCATTATCCGCTGGGAGGCGACAGAAGTTACACACTATACTACTTTGTAAAGTGGCGTGAGCCACTTTACAAACGGAACCCCATACAGCCGAGGGAGGCCTGTACACACCAACCACATAGATGAAATTGCACGAACCCAGATTAATCTTTAAGGTCAGCACTTCCATAATAGAAACAGTAAAACAAGATTTAACAAAGATGGCCACACCACCTCCTTTTCCAATTCTGTCACATCTAAAGACATTAAATGGATGTAAAGCTACAGCGGAGTCACTGACAGATTTCTTTAACCAAGTCTCAGACAGAATGAGAATATCAGGATCAGCCTGTGAAGTATTTTGATATGATCTAATTTTTGATGCTGGAGGACACTTCGTATATTTAAATGAATTAGTCCCAGGCCTTTCCTTTCTTTAAAAGTAGGCTACGTGGGTTGTTTAGGAGTGCTGGGGTGGGATCTAACCCTGTAGACTGTTTAGGAGTGTTGCTTGTAGCCCTGTCACAGAGTCTTGGCAACTGTGTGCATTTCAGTGAGCTGAAACAGTGAGCCCTGATGATCCACACCTCTTCCCCGGACACCACAGTTGCAGTAATTCTGGCAGGAATGATAAAATTGACATTGCCACTGAGGGCAGTAGAGGACGCCAGACCACCATCAGTAGACCTGTCTGTCATTTCTGTGATGATAGTCTGGATACTGAAGTGAACCGGTGAGGGAGTTAGTTCCAAGGAAGGACAGTGGGGGGGGGCTAGTGCTGGTGACAGTGACTTGGGATGAGGCAGGAGAGGAAGAAGGGGGTTTGGGAGTGGGTGTGTGCTGTGAAAATAGTCAGTCACGTGGAGAGGACTTGACTGCAGGCTTACAACATCTGGCTACCTAACTTGTTTGGATGGATCCCATCTCTTTCCAGGAAGGTGCCACGGTTACAAAACAAGTTGAGATTATCAATAAAGATGAAATTGAAAGATCTGCATGTGAGCTGCAACCATGTATGCAAATAGCCTACAGGATGCGGCTAAAAGGAGGAGATCGTGGATGTGGACTGCTTGAATGAGTGACTGAGCGCTCTCCCAATTCCTTCTGCGTTGTGGACGACGGTTCAGGCTGGTGGTCTCGGCTCGGGGAACAGTGTGACGAGTTGCTCGACCAGCGCAGCGCACTGGAGTTGCAGCGGCGACAGGAGTAGCGACGTCGGCTACAGGTGGGAGAGGCGCAACAGCGGCAGGCAGAGCGTTACCACTGGCCACAGGTGAGGGAGACGCAGCAGCGGCAGGAGGAGTGGTGCCGCCGGCCACAGATGGAGGAGACAGAGCAGCGGCAGGAAGAGCGGTGTTGCTGGCAACCGGTGGAGGAGACGCAGCGGCAGCATGACGGGCCGCGAGAGCCGGGACAGCAGGTGCATCGCCAGGATGAACCAGAGCCTCCTCCGTCAGGATGACGAAGCGGTTGGAGAGAGCCACAGCTCAGATAGCACACATACATCTGGCCGACGTCGGCCCGATGTATCAAGTTTAGATCGTTGAGACGTAGCAGGGAGAGCGTTTGCTCATTGCCAATACGTCGCTGAGACCTCGGTCTTTAATCGAAAATGACCATCACACAACGTTCAAACGATCAATAAAAGAAGCTGCACTCGGTGGGCGCTCCCTATATTAATATTCATATGCTTCGTTAACTACGACCTATATTCATTTAGGTCGGACCTTTCAAGCTACAAATATTTCACCATCCAATGTGAGAAATCAATGCTAACATTCAAAAATAGCTTTAGCTTTGTTACCCGGTTTCGTGTGTAGCCTAAGTGCGCACAATGAAGAGACAAAAGTCAATTTGAGAAACTTTATTTTCAAATTTCCACAAGACGTGTGTAATCTATGCACACAGACATTAAGATTGAGTTCAGTTCATAAATAAGTCATAAAACTGCACGATCGTTAAAAATGGAAAACTTAAAACAGCAAATAAAAGTAATCCCACGATTGGCAAAAGAATGGCGTTAAATAGCCTACAGGTTTTAAAAGGCCCGGACCTATGTGCTCGCGCTCCGTGTTAGCACTTGCAGAGGACAGGTCCGTAAAATAACTTAAAATCCTCGTCCGATGGCCAAGATCCTTCATCCAGTTACAGGATATGGATCAAAAAGGAATGATACAAACGTGTACCGACATCCTGTCCGGGGCGTCCGGGGGGTGTTTATAAATTGATGATAATGTCCGGTTTTCCGTGTGTGTGTGCGTGTGCGTAATCCCCGAGAGGCTGCCTTATCGGCGGATCTCCAACACTCACAACGAGGAAGCAGCAGACACCCGCATTATTCTGAGCTTCCAAGATGCCAAAGCGCAAGTGCAGCTTCACAGATGAATTGCAGAAAAAATTCCCAACTTACTGTCCCGACCCTGTCGGGATATATGGGAGGCTGAGTGCACCGTGTGCAAAGCTGGCACATATGTTTGTGTGTCTAATAAAGGTGCCGGGGAGCTCAAAGTTGGATTTTCTAATACAGAAGAGGTATTATTTAGAACATTACTTCATATTATTTGTCCATTAAGACTTGAAAAGATAGCTATTATTTTACAAGTTGATTTTTCTAATACAGAAGAGACATTATTTCTATCATTATTTCATTCCAGAGATTTTACATTTATTTACATTTATATTTATTTTTGTACAATTGAAACTTGTAAAAAGATTATTTTAGGCATAATGAAAGCAAATTGAGTAACCTCTGAGAAGTCTATCTGAATTTCTGTCTTTGAGAGATATTATTTTGTAATATAATAGAATTTTCTATCCATACATATAAACTTTAAATATATTAAAATTATAAGGCATCTTTGAGTAAACTGCGAGTATCATTTAAGTAGGCTATCGTGACCGGGGCGAGTGTCCTCTTTTTTGGAAATCAAAATATGGTCACCCTAGGATATAGGCAATAGCTACGTGGATGAAACTAGTTAAAAGTTAAAAATCACAGAGCCTCTGATACAAGCTCCCACTTGCTGGGTAACATCAAGCAACAACAAATAAGCAGCAATATATGCATCAAGGAAGGATGATAACGTTCTCTTAGCAGCAGCAGTTAAAAGAAACAAGCAAATGCATCCAGATTTTTCACACAGAATGAAAACAAAATGAATGCCCATTAAATGTCAGAAAACACTCACAGAGCTGTATGAATGCCTCGTTAGTCTCCGTTACCTCTGCACCTGTTGTGCCAGATTGATAGGCGTTTCGGAGATGGTGGTGTAGAGAACAGAATTTGCCACTTCCTCCTTAAGCAACGATTGATTCTACAAGTGTGTACAGCAATTGATGATTAAATTTTCATCATCTGAAAGGAATAGCCTACTTCACTCACAGACTGATATTTACACATTAATGACTCATTCCGTTTTTACCATAAATTTATAAATTCATGTTTTTGTCGCATGCCTCCAGACGAAAGAAGAATCCAAAACCAGATAGTCTTGATGAACTGGAGAGAAAGGGCAGTTCATCAAGACTATCTGGTTTTGGATTCTTACAAAACCGTCTTTGCCGCCCTTTCTCTCCAGTTCATCAAGACTATCTGGTTTTGGATTTTATGATGCACAATAATGCATTATAATGCACAAGATGTGCATTATAATTAAAGTCTCATTTATCCAGTCAAATGCTCATTCCTTCCCAAACACGTGCATCTTCCCTGAAACCTTTTATTAAAGACTTTAAGTGTGTGATAAGTGTGAGTTTCATATTTTTATTTCATATCCATATTTTTTTATATTGTTAACTAAATCCAATGAAAAGGCCGAAGACTGATATATCATGAACAATAAAGATTATACTTGCTTCAACATGTTAGCATTGTCACCATGGGCATGTTAGAATGCTAATGTTAGCATTTATCTCATTACACTGCTGTGCTTATAGTTACAGCCTCACAGAGCTGTAAGCATTGCTGTAGACTTCTTTTTTGGTCAGCCCACCCTAAATTCCATACATGAAGATAAGTGAAGAAATGTCTTGTGAAGACATCTGCCTACTCTTCTTCAGGTTGTTATTTTTTCACTTCCGCAGCCATAGCCAGGTGTTAGAGCAGGTATGTTTTATACTTGCTGGTTAAATCTGCATGTAGTCCTAGATTTTAACAAGCAATTGTTATCATTGCTCTAGAAACCTGTTTACCCTGTTGACACGATGTGTTCGTGCAAGAGAGAGCGGGCTATGCCAAGAATGGAGAATGTCTGGCTTTGCTGATATTTTTTGCTTTCTCAGTAAAGAGTCACAGAAACAAACACATGTGACTGGGGAACCCACTATTGGGGTAGTTACTACAAAAAAACTTATTATGATTAATGAGTTATCCAATTAGGAAAGTTATCGCATTGATCATTATTTTCCATATTAATGTGACATTGAAATCTTCATGTGCCCATCCAGTCTACATGTGCTTTGTGGACTTCGGAGGGTCTTGTGGGGGTGTAATGTGGGAGTATGGGGTACTCTGCAGCCAAGTGTGAAGCAGTCAGGATGAGAGTCAGCACCTCCAAATCTGAGGCCATGGTTCTCTGCCAGAAAACGGTGGATTGCCCCTCTGGGTTGAGGTAGAGTTACTGCCTCAGGCGAGGGAGTTCAAGTATCTCGGGGTCTTGTTCACGAGTGAGGGTAGAATGGAGCATTAGATGGATCTGCGCTTTGTTGCAGCTTCTGCAGTGATGCGGCACTGCGCCTGTCCATCGTGGAGAAGAGGGAGCTGAGCCAGAGGGCGGAACTTTTGATTTACTGGTCCATCTATGTCCCAACCCTCACCTATGGTCATGAACTCTAGGTAGTGAGCAAAAGGATGAGATCACGGATACAAGTGGCCAAAATGAGTTTCCTCCATGGGGTGGTTGGGCTCAGCCTTAGAGAGGACATCCGGAGGGAGCTTGGAGTAGAGCGACTGCTCCTTCGGGTCAAAAGGTGTCACTTGAGGTGGTTTGGGCATCTGATCCATGTATTAATAAAGGATTTTTGACTACAGTGGGAGTGCTTCAGATGCATTTTTGGACTGCCTGCCTGTATCATGGACTTTTACACTGAGGGAGCTGGCCAGTCGTTGGTTTTTACCTTTATGAAGCTGGGCCTACTTCTACGGCTTCTGTTGCTTTGTTAAAGTCCTCTCCTCCTAATTACACTTTTCCATATTCCAGTAGAAAAAATAAGAGGGGCCGGGTAGCTGTTATTCTGTCGAAACGGAACAACAGCCTGCTCTCGCTGTGACTGTCTATTGCCTTCCCAAACATTAAAGCAACTTCTTAGTTTTATAATTTCATGTCCTTTGTTCTCACCAGTCATGATAAAATAATCTCACCTGGAGATTTTAATTTTCATGTCAACAACAACAACACTGATTGAAGGGCCTTGGATTTCTTGGATCTTCTTGCTTGTCTCAGTCTTGTTCGGCACACTTAGTGACACCTATATTCATGGAAATACACTTGATTTCATTATTATCAGGGGTATTGGTGTTAACATTTCATTGCCATGGTCCCTGTTTTGATCAATTTGGTTTCTGTTTTAACACCTCTCTTGTTACATCAAATGACAAAAGACAAGAAATGACTGTCCACAGACTTTTGTTGTAAAAACATAACATTATCAGTGTAGTTAATGACACGTTTTCAAATCTGGTTCATACATTTTTCACCTACCACTGGCTTAGTTAATGACCCTGTTAACAATTTTAAAGAGCAAGCATCTTACCAAACTCTATCCAGAGGTTGTTTCAAATAGGAAAATGTCAGTACGAACTGAGAGGAAAGTGTAAGTTCACAAAAACGAAGACCTTTTGTGCATTTTTTATTTGTCTTTATTTGGTCTACTGTGCATTTCATACATGAAGAGAGCTTAAGTCATGCCTTGTGATAACAAACTCTGCTTTGGGGTGCTGTTTTGTAGGATACTTTTCTAATTTTGCATCTTGAGCCAGATATGAGATGAGATATGTTAAATGCTTGATTGTTATATCCACAGATGATCATAGACACAAGTTTTAATTTGGAATTATACTGAAGTGCACACCAGTCTGCACTTTACTGTATGCTCTTTCAAAATGAGAAACAATAAGTAGTAGTAACAGTTGTTTTTTTGTTTTTTTTGCCTTCTCAAAACTTTCTCTTAAAGAAGCAACAGACAGCATTTTTGCCTATATATATCATTATTAAAATAATGTGGGTTGCACAGGGTAGTATACACAGTAAAATCAGAGTATCAGCGTTTACATAGGTTACTTAATGGCTTTGCAATCTTTGCAATAAGCTTCTGCCACCGGGGACGAATTTTTGCGGAAAAAATCTGCTTTACGGCAGGAAAAGTGTTATGTATTGCCAAACTGGTCGGTCAGCCAATCAGGGACTGGAGCTGGTCCTTATGAGGAACTGGCCGGGGCAGTTGAGTCATGAGCACAATGGCAGACAGAGAAAGTTTGGAGATAAGTGAAAAACGGCATCCCAAAAGAAAAGGAGCTAATCTGTCTGAGGAGGCGAGGATGCACAAAAAGGAGAGTGATAAAAGAAGAGGAAAAACGAGAGTAAACCTCAGTCAGGCGTTCAAGAGATGGAGGGAGCTCCGTGCCAAAGAAGCTTCAACACCGGTGTCCAGCTAGCTTTCTTTCTAATGGATCAGTAAGTAACACGGCTAAATGTTAGCTAGCCGAGAGAGGACTGTACTGTACTGGCTGCTAGTTCATCCCTAGCTGGCCAGCATCACAAATCGCCGCGACCAGGGACCGGGTAGCGAGTATTGGTAGGCTGACATCCTCGTTGCCATTCTACGGCAGCCCTCTGCCAGCAGTTTAATAATATTGATGCCAGCTGTAACATTTGAATGTTTTAGTAGTAAGCCATGTTCTAAGCGGGATCATGTATAGTGATTGGTGACTGTTGAAAAATAACTCTGCTGTGCGTCGGGGTTCCATTCCCCTGTCGGGAGTTATTTTTCAACAGTCACCGGCTCACGATACATTATCCCTTACGTCCCATTCTGCTGTAATTATTTGTATTACTATTTGTTTTTTTCTTCAGATAAATCTGATAATTGTTGTTCGGTCTCTTTACTAATTTGGGTAAAAGATGTGTTACTTTTCCCATATTTTACATTTTCTACATTGCCCCCATAGCAAGTGAGGTCCTCAAAGTCCAAACACCCGATATCATCAAGATCTTCTTGATGACAGGGTACCAGCGTTGCTGCTATGAGCCACTCGGTCCCTGTATGATCAAAGTGAGAGCTGCGTCTGCATATTTGGCGTAAAGTCAAACATGTTCTCAATGGGTGTTGGCCTCTGCCAGGGTTGCCCCTTGTCACCTATCCTGTGATATTCATGGACAGGATCTTGAGGCGCAGCAGGGGGGAGGACGGGGTCCAGTTTGGTGATCTCAGAACTGCATGCCTGCTTTTTGTGGCTGTGTTGGCTTCATCACACCATGACCTCCAGCATGCACTGGGGCAGTTTGCAGCTGAGTGTGAGGTGGTCGGGATAAAGTCGGCACCTCCAAATCTGAAGCCATAGTTCTCTGCTGGAAACCAGTGGATTGACCCCTCTTGGTCGGGAGAGAGTTACTGCTGTTTTTAGCTTTAGATAATTTACAATTTCTTTAAAGGTATAAGGTAATAAATAAATAAATAAATAAATAAAAGTCACGTTTGCGAAACAGACATTTGGGGCAAAAATTAATAACATGGCAATGCAAGCTCCATCTCAGTCATTCTGTATAATAATTAGCCATGTGCTTCTGTTTGGGAGAGTGTGATACATGTTTTCGGAGAAATGGCCCTTCAGAGCAATGGATGTTTTTTTTTTTTTGGTTTGTTTGTTTTTCGGGATAACAGGCCATTATACAATTAGCTTTGATCCACTACCACTATGAGCAGCTATTATCAGTGGTTCTGTGGAGAGAGAGGTGTGTGTATGACCAGGATTGTCAGGAGTGGTGTGGCTGAGATGTGAAGGGTTTCACGGAGGAACAGTGCTCTGTTGGCTGGTGAATGGAGCAGCAGCAGCAGTACGGCTGCAGCAGCCTTCTGTAGTTTCAGTAAAATGCTCCAAAACTGCATGTTGAGTGATCTATACTTGCACAGTGTAGAATTTGATATTGTTATGTATCATATTAAAGCATCTATATAGATGAATTACCAATGTTCTTTGCCATCTAAGCTCAAATCTAAAGTCAGTATGCTGCTTATTT